CTTAAATTGAAGCAACGATTTAGCACTGCAACTTAATAGAAACTGATTTTCGATTTTCGGTTTAACTTTTGAGAAAAGAAAGTGTTTCGAAAAGTTAGCCGTAACTTTGTCTAACTTTTTTGAAAAAACTATTCGAAAAAATCAACGAAAGAATTTCAAAAAAACCCGAATCTTTTACGTCATTACTCTAACTAACATCAGGTTCGTAAATCGAAAACTGAAAACGTCTCTAGCGTCTCCTTTCGACGCTCGTAAGTTACTAAATTATTTATCTTGGTTTCCGTTGCTGGATCATCCGGATGATTCTGAACTACTGACTATTTTATTTGTGAGATTGATAACCCAGATTTAATATAATTCGACACGGAGTTCCGAATGGGTGAAGGTAGACGTGCTGTGGGATTGCGTTCTTCTTGTTGGTGTTCATGTACATTTCTGGACATGACTGTTGCTAACCGTAGATTACTATCCGGCACGATTATTTGAATTTTGAAAGAGCAAAAAGGATACTTTCTATACTCACTGCATTTTAACGAATATTGCGTATGTTTTTTATGCTTCGTGCTATTCGTATGCTGCTGCATATGCATAAACTGGTTTCACACTCAAGTGTTCTTGTAATACTAAGATGTTTTTTGATAACACACTAATACACCACATTGGCCGTTTCTTTACATACGTGAAAAAAACGGAGGAATACTGAGTTGTTTTAAAAATGCGTCGAAATCGAAAAATAAAAACTGGCGTTTTAGTGCGTTTTTTCACAAACGTCATGTCCAGTTTCACGTTCCAGAACGTTTTCTTTTTAGATGTGTGGAAACCAGAAAAACAGCTGTGGTGTTTCATCGCATTTGTGAAAAAAACGGACTAAAACGCCAGTTTTTATTTTTCGATTTCAACGCATTTGTCTTTTAAACGCACCGAAACTAGAAAATGAGAGATGGTGATCCTTTTCGTTTTCCCTTGAAACGCGCAGGAAAGCGTTCTTTCATCTTATGGTTTCAGTACGTTGAGAAAACAAACGGAAAGCAAGGCGTTCTTCGAGTTTCTCATTTCAACGCTTCTTCGAAAAACCGGATTAAAATGCGTATTTTTATTTTCGAGTTTTGATGAGGGTTTGGTGAGAGTTTTGGGTTATTTTCACGTTTTCATTCATCCTATTGATTGGAAATATATAGTTAAAACAGAGCAGAGTGTTCGGTCTTCATGCATGCACACACATACTCAGGAATCGGGGTATAGTCTAACAGCTGTTGACCGAACGCCTTGCCACAACATATTATCATCAGTCATTCTGTGGAACAGTCAAAGGCTATTTACAGTTACGACCTATTATATTTAACTCATAGCATTATCTTTTGCTTGCTGTCATTCTTTTTTCTTTACTTTTTTAGTATTGCTCTCTCCTACCCAGTGAGATTTGCGATAATTATGAGAGGTTGCGAAACCTGGAGAACCTTTCACTACTTTTTCCAGTAGAATATAACAGCTAGGTCACTTGGATTTTTTAAATTATTTGGGCAATATACAGTCTGCTGAAACAGATGCATTTATATCGCTCTGAAGATGTCAGTTATGCAATTATTGTTATTCGACTACTTTCTGTTTCAAAATAGAATGAACTTACCCAAGCAAAATAAGTAAGCAAGAAAATCTAGCTGAAGAAGTAGCTGCAGCGCCCACTTACAGCTAGATTAACTAGATTAAAAGGTACATTTATCTAGCTGCATGCTGGTTGAAATTGTGTACTAGCTGAAACGGCCACTGCATAGGCCAATTAATCGAGTAATGAATTGCCCGATTAATCGATAGCAACTAGTTGTACCCAATTGAAACTAGATTCAATCTAGCTGAAGCTAGGTAAAATTTCCATATATTTCTGTGCAGCTAGCTGAACCTAGATAAATGTACCTTTTAATCTAGATGCAGCGCCCGCTTCATGATTCTTTTTCGTGCTTGGGTAGCTGCTTTTTTAATAGAAATTGAACAGGAAAAGATGAGAGTTGTGTTTTTTAGTTTCTGAAAGTGGACACCGATGCACGTCTTTTTACAAGCAAAAAGAAATTCCAAAATCCTTTGGAAAATAGGATTTTAAGAGTCTTTCTAATACCTAAAATTAAAGTGCCGATATAGCACATTTTTTACCTGGATAGATAGCCTAAAGTGTGCTCTTAAAACTAGGGACCAAGCCAGATTTTGATTTCCAGCAGTTTAGGTAAGGCATCGAATTTTCTCGGAGCCCTGGAACAGTATCTGGTGACTTTTGATAGCCTTAAAATTAGACTGAACATATGTAATCCATCAAGTTGAATCTAGTAATCAACTTGATCGAATAATATTCTGTAGATTTAAAATATTGGGTAAATCGATTTTTATTACGCATATATCTTCTCTAACATACACACCAACATCACCGCGTTTTATACATTGCATAGAATTGCGGCGAGCAAATGAATTTGATCTTGACCAATTGATTAATCGATATCCTTCAACTTTCGATCGATCTTCTGTACTGCTGTTGCTCGACCAGGTTTCTGCAAGAGAAATTACATAATTTGTTTTGTTAAATAATACGCTCTTTCAATTCGCCTGTAAGCCTTCCATGTTATGAAAGAGAACATTTAAAAAACTCTGAGCCTTCTCGAAAAATGCACCCTTACTTCGCTAGCAATATTATTTGGGAGCGAATTCTCTCCACGTTTTCATCACAATAAAGCAAAGTACAGATCCATTAAAAAAAGACCGGTGATAGTTCGAACACGTGACAAGGCTGTACAACCTATGTCTGAGCCAAAAAATCTTTTGAGCTAATAACAACTTCACCAACTGTTGAACCTTGTGCTTTATGAACGGTCATCGCCCAGCTAAGCCGTAGAGGAAATTGTTTGGTTACCGTATTAGATGTTTGATCATCATTCTGATAATCACCACGGTTTTACACACACGGTTTCATGTTCACGACAATGTTGACAAGCATTATGATGCTGACGTCCAGCTCTTACATTATCACATTTTATCAAAATATGTGACGCTTCTTTTTTACTATCTTCAATAAATTCAAGAATACGGCCAGTTACATCATTAGTTAGACTATCACTGACACTAATATTCTTGGTCAACATTATTCGAGCATTTTTCGCAAGTCGAATTGGAACATGCAATACTTTACGGTGTTTACTCGGTTTCATTTCTTTGCCCTTTCGATCTCTATCATAAAATGTGCGAATATCACTGCAAACTTGATCAACCATTTTCTCGTTGTACGCATCCACTTGAGCATTTTTGTCAAAAAGATGCAATGCCTCAGGATGAAATTATTCGTTTAGATAACGCTGATGACATTTCTCGAGAGCATTTCGGTCTTCTTCACACATTCCGATTTTTCTTTTAAGCTGAGCGTCGCTTTTGAGATATAAGGGCGCCAGTGTCTGAAGTATCTTTTAGAGCTTCCAGCAAAGCCCTCATAGCTGTTGATTAGAATATCACCTAGAGTGCAGCAATACCTTATTTTGATCAGAAATGCTTGCTTTATATCTTGGTATTATTGAAAGTAGTTTTAAATTTGTTGTTTTAGTTGAAGCTAAAGCTTTTCGAAAAGTTAGTTTTTCAAGGCTTCCAGAAAACTTTTCTAAAATCGTTCATAAGTCGTCGATGAAGACCAAATAACTATGGAATCTGACACTAAACACCACGGGCTATCTGATGATGTACTTAGCTCAATATCGACTTTTTATAAAAAATGTCGGATCGTGGGAGGGAGCCTTAAAGATAAGGTTCAAGCAGTGACGATTATGATGGCATCTCTAAATATACAGGAATGGGAATTAAGTAAATTAGTCATAACGGGGCTCCAAACGTCGATGGGACCGAATCCTTTTAGGCTTTTGCTAGTCTCACCGAACGTTGCTTGTTTACACAGGGCCTACATTTCCCAAGATGTCCTAGAAAACCTATTTCAGAAAACTCTTCTGAAACACATTTTTATTATTGAAATAACTACATTATACTTTGACGCCGATGATGGTAGCAGATAAGCATAATTATTTATGACCGAATAACAATTAAGGTTCATCTAACTGATGACACGACTTGACTCTGCTTATTCACAAACAAAAGTGGAAAGGTAACTATCTCTCTCCTGACGTATTATCAGGTTCCTATCCTTCCAAATGCGCATGTATCCTCCATCCACGTATATATTTTAACGTTACGTCGAGTCAGATCATCTGGAAATTGTAATTGGTATTCGCAGAATGTATATATACGGAAATTGATAAAACAAATCGATGACTTTATTGTTAAAAAATCTTACCATTTCAAAGACGAATCGTTTACAAAAACCGAAGATACCGCCTAATGGATTAAGACAAACTTAAAGATGCCTACCTAATACGACAAGAGATAAATGTTTTGCAAAACTATCAAATAGAAATCACATTGTGTCAAAAAAAGGATCATACGATATTGTTTCGTATATGGAAGAAAAATTTTTTTTGAAATAAAAAAGTAGTGAATCCGACATAGCAAATACTTGGCTTTCGAATGATAGAAAAGCTCTCCGTCATCAAAAGGTAAAAATCTAGCTTTCTCGATGCAGTTTTTCTCAAGCTTTTCGTGTGGTCTATTTTGAAAGGACCCTGCCGGTTTTAAAAAGTATGTCGAAGCAGAAAGCTATATATCAGATTTTCAAGAGCTTCTCGCGACGAATCTAAATCTCTGTTGGGTTTGGGTTAATACCTTCTGATTACCGAGATATGGGTGTCATAAACATGGTCGCACTACGCTTTTTTTCTCTTTAGCTATTTAACAACGCTTGGTCTATATTGGGAAACAACTGACTATCTATAATACACGTGTTTGCGTGTGTAATTAAAAGTTAGAAAATCTCTCTCTTGTAACTTTTCTGTCTTTTCTAATTAGCTTTCTACTTTCTAACTTTTAATTGCACACGCAAACACGTGTATTATAGATAGTCAGTTGTTTCCCAATATAGACCAAGC